GCTGGAGAGCCCTTGCTGGAGAGGAGAGCCCTACTGGTGCAACGCGGCTCCCAGAGTGAAGGGAACTACACTCTTTTTTCTTTTTCCCGTGCTCCCTTTCGCAATAAGCCCTGATCCTGGATTCCGGGGGCGTCCCCCGGCGCGGTCCCGGCCGGCGGCGTGGTGGTCCCACCGTGGTGGTCCCAGGCTGCTGCCGGCCTGCCGGGCCTCCTCGACACATTCAAGTGTCCCTCAAAGTCTCGCGGACGGACGCGGAGCGCGCAAAGCGGCGCAAAGGGAGCGCCTCGCGGAGCAGGCGAAGCAGCCCGTGAGATTGGCCCGCCCGATAACCGGACGTGCCGAGAGAGAGAGAGAGGGAGGGGGAGAGAGAGAGAGAGAGAGAGAGAGAGAGAGAGAGAGAGAGAGAGAGAGAGAGAGAGAGAGAGAGAAACACTTACGCCGCGCGCCTGGTAGTGTCTTTTCTGCCTGTTTTGCCGCCGCCTCCTTGCTGGTGTCTTGGTGGTCTTAAAACGAACCAAAGTATCTGTCCGCGCGACGCGACGCGATGCAGTGGCCATTGTTCCAGAATGCCAGTTCGCAAGGTAGTTTTCCGGGCCTGTAGCACCACCGACAACGCACAGTGGCGAAAACCTCAGGCGGGTACGATTTTCCTTTGTCCGCCTAGTCGAAATCTCCTTTTCTGTGCACGTCTGGGTCGGTACGGTTTTCCCTGTGACTCGAGTCGAGCTCGGCCCGCCCGACGCACCATGGCGAACCAAGGCGCCATTCGAACCCCGGAAGAGCCCTCCCTCCCAGTGCCCCTCCGCCTTCCCGCCGTAACTTTTGAAAATCACAGACTGTGTGCAGAGATGTCCGTCCCTGTCATCGATATCAACAATGCTCGCATAATCGCAAATAACGCCTGGCTCGGCTCGGCTCGAGCTCGACTCGGCTCGACTCGGCTCGGCTCGGCTCGGCTCGGCTCGGCTCGGCTCGGCTCGGCTCGGCTCGGCTCGGCTCGGCTCGACTCGGCTCGACGGCATAGCAGCACGTCCACCGTCACCGTCAAGGAACAAAAAGTAAAAGTTTTCCTTTTCGCACTGCAAGCAAAAATAGACAAGGTACAGAAAACAAGAATTAAAATTTTGCACAGCTTGGAGGGGGCTGCCACTGACTAAAATTGTGTTGAGTGTGAGTGGTTGTGAGTTTTCACTCAATTCAGCTATGACTTTTGACTACTTACAGGCGGTGTTTGTCTCACAGATTCCGTTCATACAGGGTTTTTTTCAGCTAAAATCCAAGTGAGTGGGAGTGAGTGTAGACTGGACGCGTACAACAATGCATGCAGGAGTGGCAGAACCCTTGCACAGCTTGGTTCACCTGCAGGTGGATGAGGTTTATCCTCACCTGAATTTTTTTTAAGAAAGCCCTCATGTATGAGTGCTGCCAGATCAAACAAAAACAAAATTAACGCTAACGCTAACGTGAAAGCAGATGATACTTATGAGAATGTTTATTGAAATGTATGAATGTGACATTTTGTCAATTTATTTCAAAGAGTAAACACTCGGAACGCTTTTTTTGACAAATTTCTTACACATGGTAATTCATGAAAATTTCATATTTAGTATAACTTTTGAATATCCTAACGTGTCATTGTTTTGTGTTAAACATGTATGCAATGACGGTGGGGCACTCATATGTCCGATACCACTTGTGTTGGGTATCATTTTCGTTGTTTCAACGCGAGGATGCACAATTTGGTGGCTAATCACATAAATACTCAATACCCGTAAAAGTTGTGTTCGGTACTAGGGCGAGGCGCCTTGCGGCACGCGGCGTGTCAGCCACATCTCCAAGCGGGGCCGGCCGGCCGGCGCGCCACCCGAACCCGACCACAAGACAGATAGATAAGCAAGAGTGGCGCACACTGCCGACTGCCGACGCGCCGCTTCTCGAGAGGGGCAGGGGTTCGGAGGGGCGCTGCACTATGCGTTCTACGCACTCAAGGCTCAAGTGCGTGTGTGTGTAGACTGCTGCGGGGTGTGGCGGGGCGCGGCGGGACGTGGCGTCTCGGCAAGGGAATGGGCGAAGGGGGCAGCCACGCGATGCGTGCTAGCAGCGTCTCGTGACGACGCGCAACGCGAGGGACGCACTTCATGAGTACTAGATAACTGGGTGTCGAGGTTATACGCCGCGCGCGCAACCCGAGCCCCCGCAGGCGCCCCGATTCATGGTGCGGCGCGCGGCACGGCGCGGCAGACTGCGGGCCCTCCGCTCATAATCTTCTAGGCAGGCCAGCCAGCCGCTGCCTTGCCGGCGAGGCGCGCGGTCTCTTCTAGGCTTCCTAGTCAGGCAACGACGCAACTGCTGCCTGGCTAGCCGGAAACTCGGTACTCTCTGCACGAGAGTACAAGCACGCTGATACGTGAACGTATCATCTGCTAAAAACCACCACCACCACCACCACCACCACCACCAACAACAACCACAAAACAACCACTTTCGTTTTCCGCATTTCAAAACAGCACTACTATAACCGAGCGCGAGTATCAACTGAACCTGACTTCAAAGATGTGACGTGGGGCATAAATCTCGAGACCTTCAGTCTGGATATCGCGTTCGCACGGCATCTATCTCCTTCACGAAAATTAATCCTCTGACGATCTCGAGATATCAATCCTAATATCAACAACAACCAACAGCAACAACAACAACAACCACGTGGTGGTCCCGACACACAACTGCTCCTGTGCGCGAATTAACGGCGAAATTGAGGCGCTGGATTCCTGTGCTTGTTTTTTCCGTCGACCCCATGAGGCAATAATGCGCTATGCGCGGCCCGGCCGGTGGTGGATGCCCGCCTAGCAGTGTGGCGGGCTGCAGACTGATTCCGAGAGTCGTTTTCGTCGCTCTGTCTCTCTCGCCCTCATGGGGCGTCCCGTGCAGGTGCGAGAGAGACACAGCGACGACTGTCGGAATGAGTCTGCCGGCGGCGGCCTGCCTCCAGCGAGAGGGCCTTGGGGACGTCAGGACGTCAACCTGTCCGGCCTAAGATCAAGCGGCGCACGGCATCCTCCACGCATCGGCCGCGCACAGTGGGCCAGAAGACCGGTGGAGGCGGCCAAAACCCTAGACGCGTTTTGAGCTCCAGAGTCGCTAAATGGAACTCGAACCGAGCGTGTGACCCCACCAATGGATTCCTCGTTCGGAGAGCAATCCATTGGTGGGGTCACACGTTCGGTTCGAGTCCCATTTAGCGACTCTGGAGCTCAAAACGCGTCTAGAGTTTAGGCCGCCTCCGCCGGTCTTCTGGCCCACTGTGCCGCGGCGTGCGCAGCATCGGCCGGACCGCTTCTGAGAATAGGACACGCCCTAAACACCGCGAGATACGCCGCGCCACGCCAGCAGACGGATTCCGAGAGTCGTCTTCGTCGCTCTGTCTCTCTCGCACTCATGGCACGTCCCGTACAGGTGCGAGAGAGACAGAGCGACGAGAACGACTCTCGGAATCCGCCTGCCGGCGTGGCTACGGCGGCGTGGCGATACACATCGCGGTGTAGTGCCCCGCGGAGCTCCGCGCCGTACCTGTCTCTGTCTCCATTGAAAGCAGCCTTACGACACGACCGTCACCGTCACCCCAAAATAATGACGGAGTGTGTGATAAACGGCCGCGGCAGACTGTCTCCGTCTCTCTCGCACCTGTACGGGACGCCCCATGAGTGCGAGAGAGACAGAGCGACTCTCAGTCCGCAGACGGCCTAAGACAATGCCGGGCCTCTCGCGGCACACGCTTGGGGCCACGCTTGGGGGCACGGCGACGCCCCCGCAGGGCCTTCCCTCGGGGACACACAGCGCGCGAACCGCCTTTTAAAAGGAAGGGGGCGCTCAGTGGGCCAGAAGACCGGTGGGGGCGGCCAAAACTCCAGACGCGTTTTGAGCTCCAGAGTCGCTAAACAGGGCTCGAACCGAACGTGTGACCCCACCAATGGATTGCTCTCCGAACGAGGAATCCATTGGTGGGGTCACACGTTCGGTTCGAGTCCCATTTATCGACTCTGGAGCTCAAAACGCGTCTGGAGTTTTGGCCGCCTCCACCGGTCTTCTGGCCCACTGTGGGGCGCCTCCCTCCTTTTTCAGTGACCCGGCAGACACACCTTCGGAGATGGTGCTGGAGGCGTGGCGCGCGCAATGTTTGACGTAAGACAGCCGCACTGCCTCACACCAGGACCGTTGCCCACGCCGGACTTCCCTCGGAGGCCCTGCAGACTCATTCCGAGAGTCGTGTCGCTTTGTCTCTCTCGCACTCATGGGGCGCCCCGTACAGGTGCGAGAGAGACAGAGCGACGACGACGACTCTTCGAATCAGTGTGCTGACAGCGTCGTATCGTGAAGTGTAATGAAATGAAACCCGCGCGGACTGGACTGGACGGCAGGGCGATGTGCCGGTCCTGGTGCTGGAGTCCCAGCGCCAGTGCCCCAGCCAGGCCGTCCCGTCCGCGTCCGGCCGGCCAGGCGGGCGCGGGTCCAACGCAGCTTTATGGGGTTTCGTAACTGATCTCTTCCGCGGGCGAGCGCGTATCCATGCGCCTGTGCGTTAGTTTTCACCAGACTTCCTCCTAGACTTGGCGACTTCTTGCCCTCTCCCCTCCCCCCTTCGCCGCGTATCCTGGCGCGTCCGTGGAGCCGCCGCGCTGGGAAGCGAGGTGACCGCATGAGCACGTTGTTAGGCCTGCCCGCACGCTGCCTGGCAGGTGGGGTGCAGAGTGGTGTACCCACCGTCTGCCCCCCCCCCCTTTTCCCTCCCCCCAGACCAAGGATCACGCGCCCGGGGAATGACCCTCCTCCCCCCCGCCCCTTCCCCTCGTTTCCCTAGGCCAATCTAATCTGCCAAGGACGTCTGCCCTTCACTCACCACGGCTTTTTATATTGCCACCCCATGATAAAAGTGACCAAATGAAACAAGAAAAGAAAACAAAAAAAAAAAAAGTTGGGAAGGGAAAAAGAAATTACGATGTTGGTATTGAAAAAAAAAACAATCACGAGATATTTATTTACAAAGTGAAATTAAATTATGCGTATCACATAAGCTCGTCACCTTGGGTAACAGACAACATAATTAAAAATAACAACAAAAAAGAAAAAGAATGAGGTCTACTACAATTTGGAGATTATTTAAAATGTAAGTTAAATGAATGAGACCAACAAATTCGACAAGAGAAAATGACACAAAATTATTGAGGCATTTAGGCCATTACTTTGCCTTTCTTAATTTTTAAGACTAAGTTACGCTTTTTACCTCTGGAACTTTCAGACGCTTTTGAATTAGGATGGTGCTCTGGACTCTTACCTCTCACCAAATACACAGTGTCATCACCGTCTGGGCCCACAGATGCATTACATTTCTTTTTCTTTGTTGGTGTTTGGGTGCTCTTATGGCCGCACTTGGCATACTTAGAGGCAGCAGAATTTGCTTTGCAGCATTCTAAGCATTTTCTTTTACCTGATTCCACAAGTTTCAAGCAGTTCTTGGATCTCAAAGTCTCTGAATACCTAGATTCTTGATAAGGATTGCTATCAAGAATAACATTGCATTGTTCAATAATCTCTTGAGATGGGTTTATCCATTCTAAACCAATGCACACATGAAAATCCCTAAGAATATGAACTAATTTCAAGACCCAGTCGCTGAAGTCTTTTACTGTCTCTGCAGTAAGGCTCACAGATTCACCGGCTTGTTTAAGAATGTCACTAACGAAGGTTTCGAGCAGTGGCTTGCAATGAACAGTAATTTCAACATTTCCAGTTACGGACACAAATAATCTACGCTGGATAGCTTTTTCTCTTCCAAAGGATAGCAACATTACATTAATCCCATCTTTCTCAACAGCACTGAACCAACATAGTGGTAACCTGTCACTGATTTGTACTTGAACATCTTCAACTAGTGAGTAAGTCGGTTTAGTAGCATCCTGAAACAAGATAAAAGTGATTAGATTCAGGTGTTCACTTAAAGTTAAGCAATTTTAAAGCACCACTAAAAAATACCTTCTTGTTGGCAAGAATGATTGGAGCAGTAATAGTATGAGGTTCTGCTGGACTCTAAAAATGGAAAATAAAATTTAAGGGAAGATAACATTGCACATAGAAGCAATAAACATACAAAACTTGAAATAATATTTAGAAAATACCAGGGCTAACCTTTCTGTTGTTCCTAATCTTGTTTCCAGTTAAATTTACTTCCACCGTTGTAGTTGCAGTTGCACTAGTGGTCTGTACCTTCAAATAAATGAACAAACATATTAGGCACAAATAAATTACTTTCTGACCATAATATCCATTTTGTACAAACCTCATTGGATTGCTTTGAAGGAAAAATTATTGGAGGTGTTAAGGTGGACTTTACAGCAGGAGACGCAGTAAATGCACCCATTGGAAGAGTCATCTTGGTAGCACTACCATCTTCTGACTTTGGAACATACATTGTGCAAACCTTTGACAAAAGATAGATTTAAAATTCAATCAGGCCACATAAAATCAATCATAAGTTCATTTCTTTTAAAAAAATATGTTACCTTAATGTCTTGGACAACCATGACACCCTTACAATTTTTAGGCGGTTCCACATTAGAATTGGGAGAAACGGGAAGTGAGAATTGGAGTTTGGGCATGATGGGCACAGGACGTGGAAGTAGCAAGGATTTTTTCTGCGATGGTATGAGTAATGACCGCTTTGGCGGTTTTATTAGTGAGGGGGATGTCCTAGGAACATGGGTATCCTTTCGGACTCTAAGCTTGGGTTTATTGTCACGGAGGACAATTGGTATTCTTTGGACATAATCTGGTGACTTATCCACAAGTATTTCTTGAATGTCGTCATCATCATCTAAGTTTTCTGACAATTCCTGTTTAATTGCTTCTAGGGGCACCTCAACTGCGGTGTAGTCATGTTCATTTGCAATTAAACTACTAGGCGGTGATTCCATAGTCGCAACCAAATTACTGGGCGGTGATTCCATAGTCTCAACCAAATTACTGGGCGGTGATTCCATAGCTCTGCAAAATTGTTAGTAAAAATTAAATAACGGTTAATGTCAAGTAGAAATGTGAAATGATACATGATACATGTGATAAACTCACCTCAGATTTGATCAAGGGTTTGAGAACAGTTTTAAAGTGAGAGACTCAACTGTCAACTGACAGGAGGAAAAATGCATTGATACTTTGAAAGTTGGCTTCAAATTACCCCCAAAAATACACAATATTTAAAATTTTCAGAAACTGACCGAAAATTTCATACAAATTCATTATTGAACGATCTTCAACGAAGAACAGCTATTCCTGGACGTAAATGAGCGCAACTCAGACTCTATTCACATCTAAATGTTTCCATTTTCACAAACAAAACAAACACATAACCTCACTTATGACGAAACAGGCGAAGTCTTGTACTGTTCGTAGAGGCGGCGGAGAGCGAAATAGCGCGAAAATTCAAATACACGCGGACGAGGAACGCAGAAATCGGCGTCTTTTCCTGTTTCTCTTCGTCGCGTTTTGAAATCCCGGTTTTAAAAAAAATAAAAAAATAAAAAAATTGTCAAAAATCAAATACATTAAATATACTGCAGCGCGAGAGACCCACTTGAAGTGTCACCCGAGACCGGGCGCCCTTCAAGGGGTGGGTAGGCAACACACAGCACACCCCGGAGATGCGCGACGGTTCGTTGCCTAGCTGCCAGGCGCTCAAGCTGACTAGAACGCACTTTGCCAGTTACCGGTGGAGTGGACACGCTCGGGGAGCCTGCATTCGTTCCAGCACTCTCGGACGGGGAAATTACACACCGAGACACTCATCATCGACTTATCTATGTAAGGCTCGACCTGAGTGCCGGCCTGGTCGGGCCTGCCGGAGTACCAGCCTCAAGGAAGTGCAGTTCGATTTTACCCGCTGCGCGCGGATGCAGTTCATTTAGTTAGCGCCGCGTGGAGGCTCTCTCTGTCTCTTTCTCGTTTGATCTAATAAAGTGATTGTGGTGTGTCACTATTTAAGCTAGAAATATTTTCCAGGTTTGTCAGCAAACGTTTTGAAACGAGCTATCCTCTCCGGATGTCCCCGTGCTCATGTTTGTTCCGTTGCTGTCCTTGCTCATGACAGTTCTCGGAATCCTCTCCACGGCGGCAGTGCGGTGCCGGTGCTGTGCTGCTGTGTGGCATGGCGTGGGTGGACTTCCCCGCCAGAACCCGGCCCGCTGAGTTCCCTTCCAAGACGCCTGCAGAAGTGCAGACCGATTCCGAGAGTCGTTTTCGTCGCTCTGTATCTCTCGCACTCATGGGTCGTCCCGTGTAGGTGCGAGAGAGACAGAACGACGAAGATGACTCTCGGAATGAGTCTGCGGACGTCTAGTTGTGCTTCCACAGCCACGCTCGTCACCGAATGAGTGATTAGACGACCGGATTCCCAGAGAAAGCCAGCCAGGGAGTCCCTTGAGCTGGTCAGTGCATGCAGTCGGCGCGGTCAACAAGCGGCATTCATTTTCCCAGTGTCGCCTCGCCCCCCTCTCTCTTTATCCGACAAATCTCTTCCGACGGCGCAGCCGAGCGCAGCAGAAGACTCATTCCGAGAGTCGTTTTCGTCGCTCTGTCTCTCTCGCACTCATGGGGCGTCCCGTGTGGGTGCGAGAGAGACAGAGCGACGGGCCGCTCTACTCGAACGCCTCCCACGCGCCTCGCAAGTGCGGCCTAGTGCGGCGTGGTACAGTGGGCAAGAAGACCGGTGGAGCGGCCCAAACTCTAGACGCGTTTTGAGCTCCAGAGTCGCTCACTGGAACTCGAATCGAACGTGTGACCCCACCAATGGATTCCTCGTTCGGAGAGCAATCCATTGGTGGGGTCACACGTTCGGTTCGAGCCACATTTAGCGACTCTGGGGCTCAAAACATGTCTAGAGTTTTGGCCGCCTCCACCGGTCTTCTGGCCCACTGTGCGTGGTGCGTTCGCGGACTCGCGGCGGAAACGGAACGCGAGGCTGCCGCCTGGCGCGCCTAGCTGCCGCGCTGCAGATAGCGTCACTAAAGTGAGGCAGGCCGTGCCTACGCTGTAAGCCGCGTCAGAGGGACGGCCACACCGTCAGAAAGTCAAAATCCGAAAAAAACAACAAGAAACATCAACACCCGCCAAAAATGTATCGGAGAGTCGTGTACTGTTACATGAGACTTTTCGTTTTTTTTGTGGTGGGTGAAAAACCCGTAGAAACCCACTGTTAAAAACTGGAGAGTGGTTGAACTTCACCACGTGCAGGGCGCAGTATCGGCGGTGCGGTGGCGCTTCCGACTGATAGTCCAAGACAGGAGCACGCGCTGACGTCTCTCTCGCACCCGTGCGGCGACGCACAGTGGGCCAGAAGACCGGTGGAGGCGGACAAAACTCCAGACGCATTTCGAGCTCCAGAGTCGCTAAATGGGACTCGAACCGAACGTGTGACCCCACCAATGCTTTGCTCTCCGAACGAGGAATCCATTGGTGGGGTCACCGTTTGGTTCGAGTCCTGTTTAGCGACCCTGGAGATCAAAACGCGTCTAGAGTTTTGTCCGCCTCCACCGGTCTTCTGGCCCACTGTGCGCCGGAGCAAGCACCGCAAGTGCGAGAGAGAGGGAGGGGGCCGCGCGTCGCCGCGCGTCCCGACCTGCCGCCGTGCCATTGATAGCGAGAGTGAGAGGGAGGGGGTGTTCCCTCCGCGCCGCACCGCGCGCGGCTCCCGACGCTCCCGACCGGCGGCACGGCGTGGCTGGCATGGCGCAGCGCGCAGCCACAACAGTCGGTCTCCAGCCGAGCCAGCGCGCGCAGCACCGCCGAGCCGGAGCGTCTCCCCGTTCGGTCCGTTCGGCCGGCCAGCGTCTCGCGTCCCGATCGTCCCGATCCCCATCGCCGTTCGGCCCCGCGGTGCGGCCGAGTGACCTGGTGCGGCGCATCGCGCGCCCCGCGGCCCCTTTAGGAAGGCACGTGCCTGGAGCGGCGCCCCGCCCCGCCCCGCCCCGCCCCCCCGCCCGCCCCGCCCCGCCCCGCCCCGCCCCGGATTGCATCGCATTGCATCTTGGATTACGGGCTCAATCATCCATCGGCGCGCGCGTGTGAGTGAGAGTGTGTGATTGTGTTGGTGCGTCCGTGACGGGCTGTTGTCACCGCCTTGTTGGATTTTTACCACGCTGCCACCTGTCGGCCTGTCGGCGCTGTCGGCCAGGTAAGACGCTGTTTCTCTGTCCGCACAGTGGGCCAGAAGACTGGTGGAGGCGGCCGAAACTCCAGACGCGTTTTGAGCTCCAGAGTCGCTAAATGGGACTCGAAAAGAACGTGTGACCCCACCAATGGATTGCTCTCCGAACGAGGAATCCATTGGTGGGGTCACACGCTCGGTTCGAGCCCCATTTAGCGACTCTGGAGCTCAAACCGCGTCTAGAGTTTTGGCCGCCTCCACCGGTCGTCTGGCCCACTGTGGACCGGTCCGGTTCGGCCGGCGATCGTCGATCGCCGAGACCATCAAGAAGAAAGTGTCACGCGTCGAGCGAGGCGCGGAGCGCGGACCACCGCCAGCCAAGCGCTAAAAGTTGCGTCCGCCTGCGAACCGCCGCGGGGGAGAAAACCCGCGCCATGCAGGCCGCGAGGGCCGCGGGGATGACTCAGCGCGGTGGGTGGCGGAGGGAGGGCTTCCCCGCGGCGGAGGACGACGGCGAGGTGAAGGTCGACGACGGGGTGGAGGGTGACGACGACGATGACGGGGGGAGGATCCTCGGGAGGATCCGGGGTGGAGAACGGCGACGAGGCACAGTGGGCCAGAAGCCGGTGGAGGCGGCCAAAACTCTAGACGCGTTTTGAGCTCCAGAGTCGCTAAATGGGACTCGAACCGAACGTGTGACCCCACCAATGGATTGCTCTCCGGACGAGGAATCCATTGGTGGGGTCAGACGTTCGGTTCGAGTCCTGTTTAGCGACTCTGGAGCTCAAAACGCGTCTAGAATTTTGGCCGCCTCCGCCGGTTTCTGGCCCATGTGCGACGGCATCGTGGGGGGCGACGATGACGGGGTGGAAGATTCGGGGTGGACTTCGGTGGAGGATCAAGAAGCCGGACCAGGTAGAGAGGTTGAGTCTGACAGGGTCGGACAGGGTGCACGGGCTGGGCAAGCGCAGCAAACCAATTCCGGGAGTCGTTTCCGTCGCCCTGTCTGCCTACGCGGTGTGCCACCCGAGTGCGAGAGAGACAGAGCGACGAAAACGACTCTCGGAATCAGTGTGCTGGACACCGTGCCGCCGTTGCTGCATCGCGGGGCGCGGGGCCGGCACTCCATCGGGGAGCGCAATGATTCAGAAAGTGGTGCTTTCAATTCGCACCGCCGAGCCGCGCCACCGCGCCGCTGCAACCACTACACTACAACTGCTGCGGTGTGGAAACGCGCCGTGGAAACTCTTTTTTTCCGCCACCGACGCCCATTTTTCATTTTCCTCTCCGCACACACAAGTCAAGCGGCCGTGGCGAAACGGAACCCGCGGAGAAGTTGGTCTCAGAGTTGCCCGACGGGGTGCGTAAAATACGGGGCTTGAAAAGCGTCCGAAGTGCGAGACACTGCCGGCCGCTCTGTTGTGAAATATGGAAACGGAATAGACGCGCCAATGAATCGTTTCCGCCCAAAAAAAAAAAAACGAACCAACAAACCGTCGCTGCTACACCTACAGAAAACGCGCTTGCGTTGGTCAATGGAAATCCATTGCCTTATCATGGACCATTTTTGCAAATTGACTCGAAAAAGCTTTCGTGTATGACAAAAATCATTTTTCTTTACTAAAATGAACGACTTTTGTAGGCAATAAGCCCAGCACGGCGACATTTTGCCTAATATTCTTGTCGGAATGCGGCACTGCACTGTCGGGCACTGCGCACCGCAGCCGCGTGAAGCTGTCCCGTCATGGGCTTTCGCGGCTACCCACACACTCACATGGACACACACACGCGCGCGCGCGCGCGCGCGCGCGCACACACACACACACAACACACACACACACACACACACGGACACAGTGCAGGTGCCGGCCGCCGCCTTTGAATGCACCCCCTTAAAACTGGGCCTGAGATCTCCCAGATGCTGTCAGTGCGTCCATGTTTGGCTCTCCATCCACGTCGAGGCCCAACCGGCAGCCCTGCTATAGACTCGCGTCGCTTTGCCGGTCCCGCCAGACCCGCCCGGGGCTAGCAGTAGACTGATTCCGAGAGTCGTTTTCGTCGCTCTGTCTCTCTCGCACCACTACGGGACGCCCCACGAGTGCGAGAGAGACAGAGCGTCGAAAAGGACTCTCGGAATCGGCCTGCAGCCAGCCAGCTAGCCCCACGACGCTACTGGCACCCTCATGGATTCGCACCACGCCAGTGCGTTCAAGTCCGTTCCAGTAATCGAAGTCCGTTCAAGTCCGTTCAAGTCCGTTCTAGTGTTCAAGTCTGTTCTAGTGTTCAAAGTCCGTTCGAGTGTTCAAGTCCGTTCGAGTGTCCATTCCGTTCGAGTGTTAAGTCCGTTCGAGCGTTAAGTCCGTTTGAGTGTTTCAAGTCCGTTCAAGTCCGTTTGAGTGTTCAAGTCCGTTCAAGTCCGTTTGAGTCCACCCGAGTCCACCCAGTCCGTCCCGCAGTCCAAACACGGCCCGTCGGGGACGGCGGGGCCGACAGGGTGGCGGCCCAAACAAGGGAGGCCGGCTATTCGCTGGGAGAGGCGCGAAGTCTATAAGGCGGTGTGATGCGTGCCGCGGTGCGTACGTGTCGAGTCAGGTGAAGACAGAGAGGACGATGGACGGGGCTGGCTCGCTGCATTGCTCGGGGGTCACGGGGCGGGGCGGGGCTGCTCGTCCGAGTGACCCGCTGCGTGCCTTCGACGGGCACGGTGAGGGGTCACGGCGGACGGGGAGGACACCGACGGGGAGCCCACGCGGGGCCCGACGCCGCCTGCACCGATAAATTTCACAGTGAACTCCGAGGAATTCACCAATACTCTCCGATGTGGTTTTTCCTTTGGACACGACAATGTCTAATTAGTACCCGACGAAGTAGAACCCGACAAATTATTTTGAGCGCTGTGGACGCGAGCTACACTGTGAGAAAAAAGTACGGAAAAAGTACGGAACATGTCTGGTCAATAATTTGCCTGGACTGTCCGTACTTGCCAACTACGGAACATTCCGTACTTTTTTTCCGTACCCATTTACATGGGTTTATGTGGAGCAAGTACGGAACGTTCCGTACTTTTCTCCGTACCTCCGTACTATATTTTTCTGTACCATTTCCGTACAAAAGTACGGAATTTTTTACAGTGTAGTGACGCGAGCCCTGCTGACTAGGGGTGTCGAATGACACTGCGCGCGCACGGCCAGCTGGCGTTGAGGGCGTCTAACCCGATTTAACCACAGATTCTGTCATTAATTCAACGAATTGCGCAGTGAATTACGCACTGCTTTAATCATATGTTCGTGCTAAAAATACTTTCTGAAACCATAAAATTTTCTTTGTATGGCCTCAAATAGTTGTGAGGTTTTGAGAGTGTATGGTGAATTTAGTTTTTTAGCGCTCGATATACTATTTCCCTTGCCTTGTCCGGAGGCCTATCTTGTGAATGGTAGTGAATGGTAATTTAAATACTGCACTGAAGTGAATGTTCCTCTGCACCGCTGCGGAAAAAATACCTTTACCGCTCTCATTAGGCATCGACCATGAACGAGGGCAGCGGGATGGGATCCTCTCTCGAAGTGGCGGACAGTGGGCCAGAAGACCGGTGGAGGTGGCCAAAACTCTAGACGCGTTTCGTCCTCTAGGGTCGCTAAAAGGGACTCGAACCGAACGTGTGACCCCACCAATGGATTGCTTTTCGAACCAGGAATCCATTGGTGGGGGTCACACGTTCGGTTCGAGTCCCATTTAGCGACTCTGGAGCTCAAAACGCGTCCGGGATTTCGACCGCCTCCACCGGTCTTCTGGCCCACTGTGCGGCGGTTGGTCGGCCGGTCAGTCGCGGGGCGTTAATCGAAGCGGATATATTCATGCCGAGTTGGCGCCACTTACTTTCTCCCCGCATCTCTCATTAAAAAGTGTCGATGGGCGACGCGACGGAACGCGGCGCGCGTGTCCCACAATGCAAGGCCCCTTATGAGTTGTGTGTGTGTGTGTGTGTGTGTGTGTGTGTGTAGTGCCTGTGTGTGTGTGTGTAGTGCCTGTGTGTGTGCGCGCTAGCGTGGCGTGACACGCTCTCAGTGTCAGGCTCGCCTTTTAGGTGCATCGCGTTCGAAGCCACGCAACACATACTGCTGACCGTCTCACTGTGCCATTTTCACGCACACACACACACACACACACACACACACACGCTCACATACACACATACATACACACACACACACACACAGGTGCGAGTGAGCGCGGTGCGAAATACCTGTGTGCTCAAACCCACCCAACAAGTTTATAAATGGAATTCAAATCCAATGCAGGCTGCGCTCTGCACTGTGCGGCCGGTGTGTTTTTTGCTCCTCCCTCCCTCCCTCCCCGCCTCTCTCTCTCTCTGCTAGCGCCACCCTCTCGCGAATACGAGAAACTGCTCGACGTGCTTCTAGCGCCGTAAACTCGGTCATTAAAGCGTCCGCGACGCTGACCACCAAAACCACCACGGCGCGCAAAAAAAAGGGAGAATGAAAACACATAGCAGTGTCCCAGTTGCTATACTTTTCCCCCAAATTTTTAGTGTTTTGTCAGTTTTTTCGGAGACTCTCTGCCTTGCGATCCTCTCCTCGCCTGGCCCCTCTGCCTAGGCCGTGTGTGTGTGGTCCGCCAGGACACGTCGGCGTGCTGGCTGTTTCCGGTTTGGCGAGTGACTCGCCCGCCAAATATTTGCCATCCGTCAGAGCGGCAGAGCGGCAGAGCACAGCGAGGACAACGCGAATGTGACGCCGGCAGGACTCTTTGGGCATGAATGAATGAACGAATGAATGAATGAATGAATGAGAATGAATGAATGAATGAATGAATGAATGAATGAATGAATGAATGAATGAATGAATGAATGAATGAATGAATGAATGAAGGAATGAATGAGGAGACCAGAGTTGTGTTCACGGAGGGTCCACACCCACACGGTGCAAGGCTTCAGCCTGATTCCGGAAGTCGCTTTCGTCGCTCTGTCTCTCTCGCACTCATCGGGCGTACTGCATTGGTGCGAGGCG